CACACACACACATTAGTTCAAAATATTATCTTTAAGATCGTGATACTACCACCAGCGCCAATACCAATTTCTGGGTAGTTCATTGATCAGTTTGAGGGGTAAGTAAAGTTACTATCGCATGCTAGGAAGTTGCAAATGCTGTCGCATTACTTCTGGTCAGTTCTCGGCAAGTGACACCGGTCTCCGTTCCTGGACGTGATTGCTGCCAACTCCGTTATTTCCAAGTATCTCAAGATGGAGTATTTCGACTTTACGGGATTCTGAAGTTCCACGATTGAGTTCGAAGTTAGAGGGGTTTCGGAATTTGAGAAGTTTCATTAAGTTTCAGAATTAAAAGGATTCTGCCGTACGTCTGGAATTGAAAGCTGCAGGTTTCGGAGTTATAGGTGTTCCAGGATAGTTTTTGAAGTTGCAGGTTTCGAATTTATAGAAGATCCACTGAATTTTCAACGTTAGCGGAAATTTGAAACTTTAACAGAAAAAGTCCGCGACAGCAGAAGTTTGTCTACCAGCATCACAGTGAAGGTTTATTTCAATTAAGGAGCACATAACTCTATTCTCAACGCAAAAATTATAAGAATTCCGAATGCAAGATCCAGAGAAGAATTCCGGTTGTTTTTTCATCTTTTTACATTTCTTTCTTTATTAACAATTTCGGTTTTGTCCAGACAAATTTTCCTTCTCAAACTAGAAATTACTGCTGAGAAGTCCAACAGTGATTGAAGATAACACCTGATTAACAGCTCTGGTTTTTGCGGCGAAATTTTGCTTGTTGGCGGAATATACGTTGAAAGCGACATTTCTGGTATCACAAATGGTCACATTTCGTGCATACTGCTTGACCATCGGTGTGTTGAAGCCATTGAAAGGTCGAAAATCGTTGAATGACGACGGTGTTGCTGCTTCCACACCCATGCCGTACAAACTCCAGTACCTGAATGGGAATGTGAGAAGAGTTAAGGTAAGCAAAATAATGAAAAAAAATAATGAAAACTCGAGATAAGAAAAATTCATGGAATGATTGGTCCGTGAAAAATCGCCATCTTGGAAGTCCCGCGAAAAAACGGCAAGGGTCGGATAAAATATAAGCTATCAAAATATGCACATATGTAGGTGTTCTAGTTACAGGGTGCAGCGCAAGGGCCGGTATTGTAAGGGCTAGAACGTTACGTTTCGAAAAATCTGGTCTTAAGTGAAAATGAGTGATTCGATTCCCAGCTGCCGGTCCATAGGAATCCATCCGCAATGGATACATTGGGGAAGAGGTGGGGGGAGCGGGG